ATGAAGACCGTGCTGACCAAGGAGGAGATCGCATCAATGCTCAATCCAACCGCAACAGCTGAGTATGTCGGCGACATTTTCGAATTCTGGCTTGGAATGCTTGACCTGGGTATTCAATTCCCTACTATGTTCGCTGGATGGGGGGCAAACCTTGACAGTTGCCTCGCAGGACTGGAAGAGTCGTTCTGGCTATTCAGCAGTTCATGTCGGCCTACCGACACCATCAACACAAAGCGAAACCGATCCAGGAAAGCATACATCCCGCCGGTCGAGAACAACATGGTGATAACGATCTTGAAAGAAGCGGGAATCTTCGACCTACTCATGCAGAAGAAGATCACCAGAATGCCGGTGCTCCCAGAAGCCAACTACGATGACCACCCTGAAATGATTGAGGTCTCATCAAGCGATGAAGAGGTGGATGAAGTTGATGAACCTGATGAGGAGACCACGACGCCTACGGCGCGGGGCCCTCGAGCAGAACAAACTTCAGGAGAAACCGATGCCGGAGCTGGTGACATCGAGATTGAGGAGGAGGAAGATGACATGGGGGGCCAACCTTCAGAAGCGAAGAAGCGCCGAACTGAGGTGCGGGACATCCGTGATCGATTTGAGAAGTTGATTTCAGACGCATCAGATGTTCAATATTGCTTCATTGTGGTGGAAGGCATGACATTGATGAATGTACCACACCAGATGATGAGAACATGAAGGACACCCTATGGCGCATGAGATTGATCATGGATCAGAAGTCCAAATCCCCATCATCATCCGAAAGATCCAAAGCTGCAACCAGAGGCAGGAAAGACAAGCTCCCAAAGAACGTCATGCCGCGAGGAAAACGTTGGGGAAGAACCAGATTCACTGAGAAAGAGGAAGTGACTAAGTGCTTCTATAGTCAGTCAGCCTTTATGTACGACATTGGTGATCGTGAAGAAGGAGGACAGTACCTAGTGAATGGTGTCGAAGTCAACCCAATTAGCCGAGGTGTGAAGAATCGTCATGAGCTTGACATGCTGATTGAGCGTGCGGCTGAGGAATCCCCGCCTGTTTTGCCGACCATTGAGGAGCTGAACGCTTGGAACCACATTGACCATGATGAATACATGAAATGGCTTACTGAGGAAAGAAAACAACATGGAAACAACTGGAACTTCAAGTACATCCAACCATTCACACATGGTCACAACATTGGTACACTTCAACTTGCTCGCATTAATGGAGAAGAATATCTTGGAATGGGCTGGTGTAAAGTGCATCGATATGGCGAGAATGAGTGGATGGGCAACAAGTGGGAAAATCCGCAATGGATAGTCGAATTGTCGAAAAGATTCAATGCAGCGCTACGCCACTCCGTGGGTTGCGTCAAAGACAATCGAAATCACCGTGGACTACCATGCGACGAGGCAGGTTGGGTCAATGTTGAGTCGATCTTGAAGTACGATGCCATTTGGAGAGACCAACATACATTGGCTGGCACGACCCATGTCAACTACCCGATACTTGTTGAGAGGTGGAACAATTTCCAGAGAGTGATCTTCACAGAGTACAAGCAAACGAAAAGAATCCGAGCTCAAGTGCTAGGACTCAAGGTCACAAAAGGTGAGTTGGAACACATCATGAACAACTTCAACGATGGATTGACCTCGAGACTTGATCGACAAACACTGAGATTGGAGATCGGCACAGCAGATCGAGAGATTTGGCTTTGGCCGGTGGCAATCCGTGCCCCTATGGCACATTCAAGAGTTCAAGGCGGTGTGCACATCGAAGACAAGAAGACTTCCTATCAGATGAACCCTGGAGTAGGATACACTCTTGGAGGAGGATTTCACTGCACCACATTTGACAACATCGCTCAAATCTTCAGAGAAGGACTACGTCCCGGAGGAGGAGGCGACCGCATCAATACGTTCTTCGTGCCATTCGCACCGTGGGACGTGCGAAGTCAGATGGTGCTGAGATTCAGGAAGATTGAACAAACTGATCTTGTCTACATCTACATCACGTACGATTCCATCGCCAAGTTCTCCCCTAGATTGTCAGCAGACGGACACATTTTGGTCCAAGAAACAATTCCATTCGAATCATTCGATGCAGTTTGGTATTACGACTGGAGGGAAAAGGACTACTACCGTCTCATGATCACAAAGGGAAGAGATCAACTTGTCCTTTCTGTGCAAGGAGCAAAGAGGGTGGCCACCATTGAACGATTTGACAAGCTCATTGGGAACATTGTGCCTGATGAATCATCACCCGATCTGGACGAACTTCGAAAACTTGTCGATATCAGGACCGGTCACTTCAGTCATACTCACAGGTTGTTCCCTGGACATCCGGATTGGAATGATGCAATATCATTGTTGGCAGTCACTCATCATCCCAGCAAGGAGGACCATCGACTATGCCCCGCATGTCTGATGGAGACCCCTTCACCATTATCGATTTGTGTGATGTGCAAAGGATTTTTGGTGAGTCATGGATGGAGGAAACGAATCAAGATCACCGTGGCTACAGTACCAAGCGCCGAATCACATCATCGAGAAGAAGATCTCAAAGACCATGTCAAGAAAGCATGGGAGGAGGTGAAGATCGATTTGACAGGTGATGGTGATGACGACGAAGCGATGCCAGATGATGATGACGTCACCATGAAGAGTCCAGAACAAGAAACTCAACCAGAAGAAGGAGATGATGATCAAGCCTCGAAGAAGGGCGACATCAATGATGAGAAGAGAGACTTCAGAGAACAAGATGAGGTCGACAAATTTCTCAATCAGGAAGGAAAACCGACCGACGAGAACGACGATGAAGAGATAGCGGTCGATGAAATCAACATTGAAGAGTACGAGGCTGGCGAAGCTCGTGATGCAGTGATTGAGTTTCCCAAGTGGATGAAGCGAATTGAGTTTGGATCAAAGGTCCTACCAATCGAGCCTTGCACAATTGGAGATGCTCAGCCGGAGCTCATCAAGATCCTGTTGCAGATTGGATTACATATCGTCAGGATCTACAGACTATTCCAACGGAACTTCTGTGGAGACATCGAGACGGCATGGAAACATTTTCAGCAGAACCAGAAATTCAGGATGGACCTGGACTCAAGAGTGCCTTACCTAGGCGAGGATGAAAATGGTGAACTCATTGAACCAACTGCACAACAGATGAAAGAGCTCTACAAAGAGATCGGCCGACCAAATCAAAAGGACGACATCGGAGAAGAGGGATTCGTCAATGCATATTATGGGGCAGTGGTACTCAAGCGACTTCTCATATATACCCTTGAATGTGGCTACACGTATGATGACTTGCAAAATATCTTCTTTGACGAGGAGATGGAGAAGCTGTCGAAACGTGACACAACAATGGATGAGATGAGAAAGACCACAGCTGCTCGCGAAGCCCTTGACCGACAAGACGTCATGGTCAGAAGAATCATTGCAGGTGCATATAGGGTGAATGCTGTTTATTTCTTCAGGAACGTCGACTTTCAAGACACAATCACACTGAACCCAGTTGACATTGTGTGTGCTCTTCGTCCACCACTTCGAAGAATATCACTTTTACACCTGATCCTTCAAAATGGCCGACAATTGCCACGACCTCTACTCCAGAAGCTATATGATGCAATCGATGACTACAATCACATCAAGCAACGGGAAGATCAACGACCAAGATGGGGCATCCACATGACTGACGCCCATATACTTGCGATTGCTGATACCCCAACTCCTGCTGATCGTGAACGTACCAACCCAGCCGCTGGCAAGTCGAAAGCAGCTCCAAAAGCAGCACCAGCATTGGGAAGAGTGTCAAAAGCGAAAGCATCATCGTCAGCAACATGGAGAACAGTTGAAACCGCACCTCCGCCAAGACAAGCTCCAGTGACCCCGCCAAAGAAGGGTGGAAAAGACCAAGGAAAAGGTGGAAAATCTTATTCACACCGTGGCGGAGACTGGAACCAACAGGGATACTATGGATGGGGTTATAGATGATTATTCGATATGACCTCTGCATAGGTCCTGATTGAACCTGGCGATGCGAGGATGCAATCATTGCTCGAGATTTACCTCTACTTCATTTCGAATGATTTCTGAGAGGACTCTGAGCCGGCTAATTTAGAACCACACATTTTTTTTGAACATCATTGCACGAGACGCTGAGTTTCTACAGCGGTCTACATCTCAACTGACGAAGGAACGGGAAGGTAAACTTCTAATTCCATAGTCAACTTTGTGTTTTTGATTTCTTTAATTCACATGCTTGAGTGAGACTCCATGCTGGCTACGCCACATCGGATGAACCTCAATGCTAGACACCGACTACGTCGTGTCTACATGCACGTGAACAGAACCTTTATTTTTTTTGGTAGAGATCGTAGCAAGCCGCCTTGTAGATTAGAAGTTCTGAACGGACTTTAGCTCTCCATAATTCAATAAATGAACAGCTGCGAGTGTAGTGGATCAATTTAAAGGACACTCCTTTGCGCGCAGCCAACAAAGTTGGCTGTGCGTGGGGGGTGCGAATAGAGTGTAGGCTACGGACCATTGTATATTATCACAATTAGACACTCTAGGATCCAGCACCAAAGGGGCACTTCAAACTGGCCTCTTTGGCTCAAGACCCACTGCAGTACTGGAGTAAAGAACAGCTATGCGGAAGCTGCTGCCCGCGTAACGTCATCACTGGAGCAATCACTTCAACACTAACTACCAGGACATAATCGGACAGGCAATCCCCGATTCGCAATTATCCATACTATTGATATTATTGATGCCATATGTGGCTGATATTTGTCGTCTCCTTGGTCTTAGCATCGACTACTGTTGGCTGGGTGATATGTTGATGGTTTACATCCTCATGGCTTATATTGGTTGTCTACCTGTTGCTTGTCGACCTGTTCATCATTGCTTAAATCACTCCCTGTTGGTTGTCGCATCTTAGGAAACCCCTCTTAGCGTTTCCTCAGAACTGATCTTTCCTCACAGGACATTAGCCGGATGGTGGTGCGGGTGGATCGAGACTTCTGCAGGTGGGGAGGGTCAAAATATCCCAAGAAAACTTGTGAGTGATGAGAGTGTGATGAGATAAGATTGTTTTTCCACGGGATACTTAAGTTCTCACATTCAAAACCCCTAGTATGTAACTTGACTTTTCTGGGTTAATCAATCATAGCCATAACCTTGTCATGATCGTGTTTAAAACTAATTCTATAAAGCCATTTCCGTCACAGTCTGATCCACTTATCAATCAGCTTTGTAAAACCTTACCAACATTTTTCTGGCAGAGCAATCATATTTACAAAATAGATTCATCTGTTTACAGAAGTCTTCGAAAGCCTAACTCACATCAGTCTTTGAGAATCACCAAGTGGAATAGTGTTACCCTCTGGTAAACTAACCTGACTATGGAAAATCACCATTTTTGATGGGAAAACTCACTATAAATGGCCATTTTCAATAGCTATGTTAAATTACCAGAGGGTAGTGTTACAGTAAATCAAACGAACCGTTCGGACACCTCGTTTTGTTCAATCCGCTGAAGGTTGAACAAAATCTACATTTGAACCCAGAAAAACTTGGGAGATCTTGGGAGTTTACGGTTGCATCCCTCCTATGGGAAGGGAATCAAAATCCAGTATAATCCAGTCAAACATTGGTTTCATGTGAATTTTTCCTTCAACCCAGCCATTGATGATCATGATCATGTTTGATTTAAACCATTAAAACCCAGCCATTGCTGTTGCACCAAAATCCCGGTGTTTGATGGTGAAACAATCTGGAAACCACCGTGCAGTGATGCACCCATGACTACAAGTTTTGTTATTGGTGTTTACACTCCATTAAGATATTAAGTACATACAGATATATCTACCACAAATCCTGGACAAACTACTGAACTAAACCATCTTAGCTACATTCCAGCAACATTGGGGCGCCACTTTGCAATGTATTATCCATAATATCTACATCAAATGGTTGCTTTCATTCCCAATGATGGTCAATTAAATCCCATGAAAAATCACCATTTTAAACCAACTATATGGGATTGACTTGATAGTTGATGTATCCACTGCAAAAAGTCCCCCAGCGTTTTGCAAAACTCGACCAACAACAAGTTACCAACGTTAGATAACTTCAAAGAAAACCAGGTCCCGGACCAGCTGAAGCCATCCAGGTGGCTGGAACACCAGGGTCTGCACGTCCTGGTCTTTGATGCCTCGGCCCCTTCGGCTGGAGCTTCCGAGGTTTCTTCGGGGGAGAGCTTCGGCTCCATGACCTGAGGGGACTGTAAATATTGGGATATTGGGGTTCTATAATAACTAAGAACATGTTGATACCCAATATACAACCAATATGTTATTATTGGGGTTATACAACGATATAATTTATTATATTATTAACAACATTATTGGCTCTATTGTTGAGCTTGTTCAATGTTGTGTTTTTGTTTAAAAGCCTTATCATCACATGCTCAAAGGTTTTAGTGAATTATAAGTCCGCATGGCTGGGATAGATTCCTACTTGGAGGATCAATATATCAACCCAGTTACTACCTGGTTCGGAACCACATTTTCTTTTAATAGTTATAGTCCATTTACCCTCTGGTTATTTAACATAGCCATGGAAAATCACCATTTTTAATAGGTAAACCATCTATAAATTGGCCATTTTCCATGGCTATGTTAAATTACCAGAGGGTAATTCATAGAAAGGGTAACCCACTTGGAAAACTTGAGAACCAGAGTTATTAACCACTCAGTGGGATGATCCTCCCAGCACTCTATGAGCCAACAACATATTACTTCGGTTTATGGGGATGGCTTTGAAGCAGCAGGGATTGGAAAATTACGACGCTATGTCGCTTGTAATGATGGTTTCTATATTAGTAGTCATGGGGGTAATGGTGATAGTTGTATTAAACCAGATATTATGTTATATATATATATATAATTATTATATATACATACATAAGGTGGTACCCCATAGTTAGCTAACTTGGTTTAGAACTATACTACATTTTATGGTGGACATTTTTTTACAGTTCCTATGGCACCATGGTTTAATTCCATCAACGAAAAGCACTGGGTGGAACAGCACCACCGACCGTAGTCTAGTATGATTTTTTGTATCTCTGGTTCGAATCCTTATCTCCCACCGACCAGGGCCATCCCAGGATGATCACTTTTTTCGTCGGAGGGTCATGATAAGTTGACAGATGTCCGAAGGATTTTGCCAACAAAAATGGTTCAAATCTTAATGGTTTTAATATGCTATACACTGGCAGGTTTTAACCATGGTATACTATACACTGTAATATCGGTATATTCATGTATATTCCATGTTTGGCGGCAAACTTCTTTGATCTCAGTCCTGGGACTAAAGATGAATGTGCATTTTCTAGGATTAACCATCACATGTTCAAAGGATTTAGTGAGTTATACGTCCGTATGACAAGGGTTTTTAGCTACTGAGAGGATCATCCCAGTTAGTAAGTGGTTAGTAACCATATAGGTCGCCAGGTAGTTTGTTCATCTATAGATGGGATAAGCCAGATATTTAGCGGACTTTTTCACTCACTCCAGGTAGTTCGTTTCACCACAGCTGGGATAAGAAATGCGCAGGAGCAGATTGGTCTCATCGGAGAGGTTCATGTACCATTGCTCCAACTGCTATCGTCTGGATCCCCGGTGGAACACATCAACTCAGACGGTCAGCCAGCTCGCAAAGTCCCAACCATCAACATGTGGGGATGGGTCAAAACCCTGGTACCTAATGAACCCCAAAATAGCTGGTAAATGGATGTTCATCCCATTAGAACTGATAATAATAGGTTTTGACCCACCCCCATGTGGAGCAAACGCAGTGATTGAATGGCATTTCGCCTATAGTGCAGATTGTGAACCAATGGTTTTTCTTGAATGATGTGGAATGGTGTCCCAAGCATTTTCCAGCGGAAATGATGAGTTGACTTTACTCACTCACGCTTGAGGTCGCGCACTGCTCGGGTACTGCGACTCAGTTTTTGGGTCGAGCACGGCCCATGTCGTTCGTGCGGGCTTAATGATGTTGAAGGGTAAGCCATAAACGGAGGCACGTACAATCTAACTGTCCCACGAAAAAGTTTACATCACACAGTTGCTAACGTCAGCCATCCTCACTTGCAGCTGTTTCTTGAAATGGCTATGGATCAATACCTATATACATACCATTTTTAGTGGGAATGAACATCCATTTGCCATCATTTACCATACCTATTAATACCATTTTTAGTGGGATGAACATCCATTTACCATCATTTACCAGCTATTTTGATGTGAACTACAGGGGTACTATAGGTTTTGACCCATCCCCAAATGAGGAATCGACCTGAGAGTCGGTGGCTATCCCGTAGCCAGGTTCAGGGGAACTACCCGCTGCATCGGCCGGGTACGTGGGGTTCACCCAGGATGACCAATGACCGGGGCGCAACGGGGTGATACCACGACACGATTTTTACCCATTTTTAATGGGTCAATCCACTATAAATGACACGATTTAATGGGAAAAACATACAAAAAGCTATGGAAAATGGCCATAGAAATAGTGGATTTTCCCATTAATAGCATGGTGATTTTCGATAGTTATGTAAACGTTTACCAGAGGGTACAATTTATATCAATTTGTGATGCGAAACGCTATCAACAAGTCAATGTGGCTTATACGCTTCTATCAACAAGGGCTTTGCTCAAGTGAGGATCTTTATACTACGCTTGGTGTGGCTACCTTTTGCTATCCACTGTTCGAGTACAATGGAATCGCGTTGCACACGGTTGCCAGTGAGTTGTATTCGGGCTGGTGACCTATTTGTTTAGTATAACATTATACAACATTATATATATATATATACATGCACATGTGGTGCTTGTTCTTTTCAGACATGGACTTTAATAAATGATCCGTGATCTGAATCTTCAGACAGGCTTCATATGCTCACTGCTGGGCGGCTAAGGCAAAGTCCTGTGGGCTACATTGAGATTGCCATTGGATGGCAGGCGGCACTGCCATGGATGATGCCACTATTGATTTCTGGGAGTTTGGTGTTGGGATGGGGGCCGTTATGTGACTCAAAGTCCAGTGAGTCCTGCTGGGAATGATGGACTCACGACTAGACATCTATAGCTGATTCTAGCCATATGTGAGAGCAGTATTTGGTATTTGGGTGAGGTAGGTACTGGGTGGCACACACAGATGATACGCTTGCAAGGTGTGTTGGAATCATAGATCACCATAGATCATTGATATAGATCATTTTAGACGCTTCTAGATAGCATGTTGAAAACTTCAGCCATTGAAATGCTATGATTTTAGACGCTTATGTCCCATCAAGTTCCATCATGAAAACTACTCATGAAGTTCCATTTGTTATATCCCAAATTAATCATCCCAAATTAATCATCCCAAATTAATTATCCAAAATTAATTATCCCAAATTAATCATCCCAAATTAATCATCCCAAATTAATTATCCAAAATTAATTATCCCAAATTAATCATCCCAAATTAATCATCCCAAATTAATTATCCAAAATTAATTATCCCAATAGTCATTATCCCAAAAAAACATCATAAATTCATATAAAATACCTTCCCAATAACATATATAAATCATACAGTATAAATACCCATAGATACATCATAAAATACCCTCCCAGTAAAATACCCATAGATACCCATAGTATCCCAAGACTAGCCCAACGCTTTCCCATAAAAATCCCAGGCCACCCACCGGCCCACCTTTTTCGGCGTCCCGTGAATTCTCAGGACGATCCCACCAGCGTCGTGGCGGGTGCAGGAGACGCGTTGGAGCCTCAAGGGACGGCGTGAACGGAAGAAGTGTGGTATGATATGAATGGTAATGGAATAATGGTGGGATAATATATATATATATATATTAATGGAATGTTAGATGTATATATATATATATATATATTATAATATTGGACTGTTGTACATATATATATATATATTAATGGAATGTTATATGTGTATATATATATATATATATTACAGTTATATTGGAATGTTATACATATATATATATATATTTAGATTAATAATGGAATATGGAATGTTATTGGAATGTTATATGGAGGTTTCCTGAAATGGGGGTACCCCAAAATAGATGGTTTCTAATGGAAAATCCATCTATAAATGGATGATTCGGAGGTACCCCCATTTGAGGAAACCCCCATATGTGTATATATATATATATATCCACTTTGGGGATTAGTGTAATCAATGGGATAATTCATGAGATCATCTATATCCACTTGGTTCACTTAGTTCACTGGAAATACTCATGATCAATGGATTGGTTTGTTCGGGAAAATCTTAACCGGAAACCAGAGTTATTTTCCCATTAAATTAATGGGGCTTAAACCAGTAAATTTTCCCAACAAAACCAATCCATTGAAAAAATGGAATATTGATCAAGAAATATTATGAACTAAGTTATAAGTTAACTTAAACTTTGGTTCCCACTTATAAATTGGTTATTGATGGAATAATCTTGACATCATGGTTACCAAAACCACTGAAAATCCGTGGGATGATCAGCCTTCAAAAAAAATGGCGCGGTATCATTTGGGTAAAATGGGATACTGCTTGGTGGTGACTGGAACATGACTGGATTACCCGGCCTGGTAAACATACATATATAGCGACATAGAAAATGGCCCAGTCGAAATAGTGGATTTTCCCATTAGCATGGTGGATCTTTCCATAGCTATGTAACAAATTACCAGAGGGTATTTTTCCCATCATATTGATATATTGGGAATTTCATCATCCCAACTGACGAACTCCATCATTTTTCAAGATGGTTAAAACCACCAACCAGTAATCATTGATAAACCATATTATTCAAGATCATTAACCATATATTAACCATATATTAACCAGTGAGCTAAAACCACCAACCAGTGGACTATTCAATGTTTACCCTCCAACGTTTAGATGTGCAAAGCCCACCATGAAAGTTTGCCGAATGGGTAGGGAACCCCCATGGCTTTTCCACATCGCGAAGGTGAACCCCAGGGTGTAAATGTAGCGGTTTTTCAAGGTAAACTTGGGTGAAGGGTAAGGTTTACACTACATTTTCTACTCATTTGTTTGAAGAAACTTGATGATTGAGTTGGGGATCAAGTATCAATTGGGGATATGTTTTTTTTTTGGATTAGCATCCTCCTGACTAGCAGAACCTGAGAGTCACCCAGCTTTCAGGATGCAAAAGTTATAGGCTTCCAAGCCCCATGGCAAGGTCTATGTTAGCTGGAGGATGATGAAGTTTTTTGGTGAAGGTTATAGCTATAGTATGTTACAGTGCAATAGATTTCAACTGTGGTGGATGTATCAACATTCAAATGTGGTTATCTTTTACCAGCCAAATAACTGATTTTACCATTATATAGACATATTGGGCAAAGCAATTGGTGAAGGGTAGTAACGGGTAGTATATTCCGTCCTTTAATTATATTTATTAGTATACTTGAATCATACTTTAATCTTTCGCCCCAAATGGATCCATTTGTGGCAAGGTTTTCAGATATTTCCAGCACATCAAAGTTACCACACATGCCCTGATTGGCATCACGGCATCATGGCTGTCATCTCGCAGCGTTTCTCGCGAAAAAAGATGGGAACCGAAGGGATGGTACGACATTTTTTTGTTTGTTTTTCCCTGGTTCAAACGTCACCTTTTTGGTGAATATACTATGATATACTATGATATACTATGATATACTATGATATACTACGATATACTATGATATACTATGATATACTATTACAGTATATACTATGATATACTGTGATATGCTATGATATACTGTGATATGCTATGATATACTATGATATACCTGGTTAATTTAATTAATTATCGCAGAAGCTGAATAATAAAGGGTATAAATGGAAAACCATATAGGAAAAACGGAAGAATAAAAGTCAAGTCTTTTCCATTCACACTGACTTTCCTGTCTTTCAGAAACATCATCAACGGGTTTGTCATTACCAAAAAGGTCATTTCTTCCAGTACCTCGCGGACGATCCTAATTTCATGCCGCATTTAGATGTTTGCTTTAACTTACTGGTGCTAAACGTAGGGAATAGATGGGTTGCTGGGGGCTGCTGGGATGATTATTGATAATTAGCCAGTGGATCATTCCCGAAAATTCCCTACTAAGCACCAGTAAGTTAAACTGGGGAATTATACTTCGAATTATCCTGAACATTCCTTTCGGGTATAGTGGGACATACTTTGATATACGCAACAAAATGCATTTCGGACTTTAACACTTTAACTGTAACGGTATTATATAATATTATA